TCCTATCCCTGTGTGCCTTGCCTCCACGACTTNTTATATTATATCATATTAATAATACTAATATTGTNTATTTATATTATGCATAATGAATGATCAACAAAAAAATTATGAAAATATTAAGTTCCAACCTCTTTAATAACTTAATTTTTCACTTTTTAACAAAGGAATGTGAGCTTTTGTTGAAATATTAGTTTCTAAACTTTTCATGAAAAATGTGAAACAAACGTGGAACTTTTTCAAATTTTGAAATAATACTTTGAAAAAAACAAACACACCCTAAGGTTGATGACTTAAACAATCAAATTATGACGCCTCTAAAAAATTAATTAGAAGATTTTATTTTGATGCTAAAAACCTCAATTCGTCCATCCTAACCTCAAGATGTATGGACATGAGAAAAAATATTTGCTCGATCTACAGTATTTTTTAATCTTTAGATTTTATAATTAGAGATTAAAATAAATTTTCAGGCCATTATAAAGATCTTTTATACTAAAACAACATATTTTAGTACTATTTGTAGGTGTGTCTTAATTGGATTATTTAGAACCTCATCCTTATGCAAACCACACCCTTTTTGTATTTCGTAAAAAGCTTAGAAGCTTTTCAAAGGATCTTCAAATAAACATATTTTTTTTAGTGAAAACAATATAAAAGGGCATTTTATTTTATTTCCAAAATAACTTCTCAAAATAAACTTGTTTCAGGTTGCCATCATTTTTTGACTATCTTGCAACATCCTTTTTGTTGGTTTTATTTGGAATCTTGGAATTCCATTTTACAACAAGCTTATTAAAAGTGATATTAAACAATATTTTTTATTTAATAAGGAGTTTCCTTCAAAATTTCGCCAGCATATTCCCCCAAATAATAAATGTCCAAAAGAAATAGAAATTCTCCTTAAAAACTTTGGCTCTCTAGAAAATTTCGGAGATCATGAAAAAAATTTACAATCTCAAGTCTTAAAAATAATGTATATAATAACACACTGTCCATTTTGTCGTAAAAATAGGTGTCAACAAATTCGAAAGATTTGTATTACTTTTTGAGCTTTAAATTTTTATAATTGGTCATATAAATTGATTTTAGAGCAATCATAGAGACTTATTATGCCCAAAGTGCAGATTATGAATCACTGCAATTTTGGAATAAAAATCCATTTTTTTTATATAGGTTTAAGTGGGGACCTGATAAGTTTAAGTGGGGGTCTGCATATGCACAGTATGAGTCATCAAGTTTAAGTGGGGGCCCGCATATGCACAATATGAGTTGTCTGACTCATAGAAATCCCATCATCCATTAAAAAAAAAATTATAATTTAAAAGTAAAAAAAGAGCCATCACCCATTAAAAAAAAATTAAAAAGAAAAAGAAAAAAAATATAGCCATCATCCATTAAAAAAAATTAAAAAGGAAAAAAAAAGAGAAGAGCAAAAAGAGAGTCATCGTCAATTAAAAAAAATAAAAATATAGGCATCATCCATTAAAAAATATTAAAAAGGAAAAAAAATAAAAGGAAACAATATAGGCATCATCCATTAAAAAAATATTAAAAAGGAAAAAAAATTAAAAGGAAAAAAAAAGAAGAAGAGCAAAAATATTAAAAAGGAAAAAAAAGAAGAAGAAGCAAAAATAATTAAAAAGG